TTTTTTTTTTTGCAAATTTAGAGTAAGTTTAATTTCCATAAACATGTTCTCGAAGACAGCTAAACATTTCACGCTGCACTGACGCCAGTATTCATTTTAATCTGGATAGATAGCTGAGCCTCATACCCAATATGCCAAAGTTTACTGTGGTTGATCCTGAAGAGAGGTGCAAGGAGTTAATCGTTCCCGTTCAGATTGATGTGGAACCCATGCATATGGAGTTAGACAACGGTTCATCTGTTACAATCATCCTAAATAATTTATGGGTTGATGTATTTCCGAAGAGTGCACTGTACCGATCTGACGTGAAATTACGCAGTTATTCCGGACACGAAATGCCTGTGATGGGTGAGGCAACGATTCGCGTGCGTTATGGAAATCAAGAAGCATGCCTACCAGCTGTGGTTACTGCAGGTGATGGTCCAGCAATTATGGATCGGAATTGGCTGTCTGTTTTTTAACTCGATTGGAAGTCTATTGAAGACGTTTTCGTGGAAACGTGTGCCAATGTAGAAGACTCAAAGTAGGCATCCCTATGAGATGGAGGTCTGCGCACAATAAAAGGAGACACTCATTTGAAACTTAAGGAGAACGTTGCTCTACAGTTCTTCAAACCAAAAACTGTTCCATTTGCCTTTAAGAAAAGAATACAGATGAGTTAAGAAGATCGGAAAGAATTGATGTACTAGAAAAAGTTAAAACTTCTGATTGGGCTACACCCATCGTTCCAATTTTGAAGCCAGATGTACTGTCAGAGTTTTGTGTTGACTATAGGATTACCATTGCTCCGTGGTCTATGTTCTTCTTTTGAATCAGAGGCGATACCCCACCCACAGGAGAGCAAAATTGTTCTTTTGTCATTCTGAAAAATTATTAATACGCGACGATGTCTCCTACTTATAAATCCTTAGTAAGTTGATGATAAATGCCCCTCTCCCATCTCCTGGAAATCCGGTCTCGCATGAACACCTTACGATTTCGTTCGTCCATTATAAGTCAAGGATTCTTTAATTATCTGCTAGTCGCAACTTCAAACTTTGTCGTGTGACAAGTTGCACGTGCCAGTGGTTATACGGGCAACAACGCTTGTCAACTTTCATAGCAACAATGTCGCGTGACAAGTTGCACGTGCCAGTGGTTATACGTGCAACAACGCTTGTCAACTTTCATAGCAACAATGTCGCGGGACAAGTTGTAATAAAAGGTCGCCCGTGTCACTTTTCCTTTTTACCCTGATTTATCTGGCAATTGTAATAAAACTTCCTTCGAAGTATTATGTAGTGAAGTCTCCCCATTAACCAATGATGTCTTGTATTATCTTTCTTCTTCAGTCTTCTCCAAGAGCTTTTCCACGACTATAAAACAATGTGCTTAGCTCTGCCATCGCGTCCAACGCTACACTTCAGGAATTTGAACTATTAACATGAAAAAGTGGGCGGCTAGAGACGCGCAATCTTAAGCCCAAAACACAAATCGGTGGTTTTCTTGGTAGCAAATTTGATGACAAAAGAATGACTCTAAACTTTTCCTCGAAGGGACTTTGCTTCTGGTCTGCGAGTCTAGGATCTCAAATTTTCCGGGAGAGCATGTGGAAAATAATCGCACGCGCCCGACGGACCATTCAATCCGAGAGCTTTCAAATTTCGTGCTTCCTTAATCATCTTCAGTGCCTGGTGTTCAAAAAAAGCAGAAGAGCCTTTTCCCAAAATTTGTTTGCGTTCACGTCAGTCGAAAATCAGTTTATACTTAATAATCCTTATTATTACCATTATGACGAAAGAGTTAGGGGCAAGACGTTTTGCCTGCCCATTTCTCATTAACATGCTCATCGCCAGGCGGGTGTTGATAACAGAAGCTTTATCTTATGTTTGAGGTCCCTTGCTGTCGGTTAAGTTTCATTTTGAGTTCGGTACTTTCTGTACATTTCAAGCATCATGCCGGCGTACTTAAGTAGGACGCGCCGTTTTCAAGCGGAGCCACACACTAACCGCTATATAACATACGACAAAAACGACTAAAATTTGGGATCATACCAGGTCAATGCCAAGTTCCACCTCCCTTTCAAAATGAGGACAGAGACAAAACCATTATAACGAAAGAGTTTAATTGCAAGACATTACAGAAATTACTGGTTCATAGAAGGCTCAACGTCTTTCCTCACTTTAAACAGACAATGGGCACTTCGATAATCCGACACTAGAAGGATTGACGCAGTGCAATGAGATCCACTGTAACTCCTGGTGGGCATATTTTTATGAAGGCCTTTCGGCGGCTAAACAAACTTAACCGAAGATTCAAGAAATAGAAGAAAGTGAGAACAAACAAACATCAACGTATACAGTATTGAAAATTTATAAAATTTCTTCAAGTACTAGTTTCCTCCAAAACTTCGAGAAAGCGTTTCTTTTGCCTTCCATGTCAGAAAATGTGATCTATCTCGACTTCATTTGCATCTGACTAGCGAGGATTTTAAGGTTGATACTTCCATTCAACAGTGTGCAGACCATCGCATCTGTTGTCTTTGGTTTTAACTTTCCCTTCATGTTTCTGATCACTTTAATATATCCATGACCTCGACTTCACCCTTCCTTTAAGTCGTGCGGTTGCTAGATGTCTTTGTGAGAATGCTCTGGATTCCAGATGCCTTCAAAAAATAACAAGAAAGTAAAAAGACAGAGTAATAATGCGTATTACTTTTTCTGAAAGTTAGAGGTTTCAATAACAAGGCTTATGGGACTGATCAATGTGGCAATAATTGTGTGTTTTGTACTGTGTAATACCTTGCCGGCCAGCAGGCCCTCGCTTCGTCACGAGCGCTTCATCCTCCGCGGGAAATTACAAGACCTTGAGCTAATATGGGTCTCAGAGTAGTTCCAGACTTCTGGCAAATCTCTCTCCCTGACTCGCTTCCAATCTTCCCGCGGGCGGAGAAAAGGGCGTCCTGCGGTTCTAATATCGAGGGCTGCTTGCCAGCTACGTAATACATTGAAATTAAAACAAAAAACTCTTGATATTAATTTTCACTCCATATCTAGAGTTGTCGGGGTTTCCAGAAACCCCATTCCTATGTTTCGTTATTTATTTTTTTCTTCTTCTTCTTTTGTCTTTTTTTAAATTTAATTCTAACCATTTACTGCGAAGATGAACATGGTCGTTTAAAAGGCTGTCAGAACCAAGTTGCTTCGCACGACCTACAAACAATCACACAAGCCAGTAACTCATAATGTTTAAGGGGCGTATAACTTTTTTCTGGTAAAGCTCAAAACAGAGAGGTAAATAGACAGGAAACCCGTAATTGAATGAGCTATGATCTCAAAAAGTCCCAATTCTTCCTCTTCCCTACTTTTGTTTCCATTTATAGATTTCTAGGAAAGTTTCAATTTTCCTTCCCTTATTTTGCGAGACGGCAATTGTTTCCCATGTTTTCCTTAGACCTTTTGCGCGGGAAATTGGCGGACGGATACCAATTGATTGATCTCCTCGCTGTGTTCCAGACCCCCATCGGGACGTATATAATATTTTGACCGCTGTCCTATAAACTGAGTGCCTGTAACCGGTTTTGACTGCATTTTCACACGATTGATTGATTTTATCTAGCGTGATTACCTGAGAGGAACACAGTTTGCCTTTTTGGGGGGTAGTATAACACAAATTTCCAGTATTTTGAAACAAACGTGTAACTGGTGTAATGCTTTACTTTTTACTAAGAGTCGTTCGCAGTGAATTCAAAACGAGATTCGGCGAAGAGACTAAAAATTTACGAACATGCCAAACAGCCGTAAAAAAATATTGCTGTGACCTCAAGCCTATCGGTTCTGGAGTGAGCGTGACATAAGGGCAAAGTGTTGTCGCGTATTATGGGAGGTCTACATCTGGTTTCGTGAACGAAGCTTTTCTTCCACGGTCCAGAAATGTACAAGATTTAATATCATTTCTTGATCTTTTAAACGGAGACTAGTGGGCAGCACAAAGAAAGACTTCTTACTGTTGTAAGTTTTTGTTTGTTTTTCCGACGCGTTTCGTCTCTAGCCGAGACTTCTTCAGGGATGATTACAACTGACACTGAACAGCATATATAGCTCATTCGTGTGCCGAAGTTTGACTTCCAGTGAAAGTGAATAATAACAAAAACATGCTGTAAACCAACGTTACAAGAAAAGCTTTGTTATGAGCGCCACACTCACGCGTTGTTTCTCATGTGCGACCGGAAAACAAAATAAAATCAATCTTGTCCGCATGGTTACTTGTTTCAAAAATGTATCACTGTCGGCTGAGTGAAAAGTAAATTACTCACGCTCGTTTGTCGTAATAAAATCAAGTCGAGAGCCCGAGAGAAGAAACCATTAAAGCACAAGTCATGAGACTGCCTAGCACCCACAGTATAAAACACAGTGTCTTGATTAAAAAAAAAAAACCAACCGAGTCAGCAACTCAATCGTGCTACGGAAATAACAAGCACGTATTGTTTCTCAAATTACGACCTGAACTCTAAAAAAAAATATATATTTTTTTTCACGCTCAATTTATCCAAAACTGTACCACTCTTTAATATGACCGAAATAAAACAAGCGAAGAAAACGAAAACCAGGGAAGCGCTGTGTAGTTGTTTTGTAACAAAACAAATGCAGATTAAGTTAGCCCATTTTACATGAGCGTATGTAAACACGGTTTTCGTTCCTCTTTCATTAGTTATTTTATAAAAGAAATGTAAAATGGTTTCCGTGTTTACATAGCCTGATGTAAAAACTTGGGAGGTTGGGAGAACACTCGATAAGCTGGAAACCACTCCGCTTCGCGTCGTGGTTTCCTACGCTTATCTCGTGTTCTCTCAACCTCCTGCGTGTTTACATCAGGCTATGTAAACACGGAAACCATTTTACATTTCTTCGTTGTTAACTGCTTAAAACACATTTTATAACCAGAGCACAAGCATAAAAAGACAGAAATAAGCTTACCTTACACTACAATTACCCTTGCACCACTTAGATCTTAAATTTAATTCTCCCTACCTTCTGCCATACATGTCTTGTAATATAAGCTTTTAGAATTTAGTGTGAAATCAAACAAAAACCTGAATTTAATGTTTTTCTTTCTCTTTGTCACCCGTCACAAATGTCCCTAAGGTGATGAAGGGACAGAACAACAGGTTTATGTCCTAGAGAGAATTCCTAACTGAGCAAAACAAAAAAATTTTAAAAATGATTAAAAGAAAGAAAATGGCTCCAAGGAAATCAAAGTTCCTGTCATGTTCTTATCTGGTAGCAATAAAAAAAAATAAGCTGAGAACTCACCTGAGGGTGAAATCAGATTCAGTCAGGTGATCTTTGGCACTGTTCAGCTACACATTTCTATGGTGCTGAGTATACTCTGTGAAAGAGAAACAAACACTTGTGAGATTGGGAAAATTAATTTTATGGTTAAGAGATAGCTTCCTGTTGCAAGAGCAATAGGAAAATAGTTTTTAAAGTAAAGTAACTGATATCGTAAGAAAATCAATGCTAGTTGACAAAACTGACAACTTTTTCATCCAAACAGTTGATTTTCCTCACAACTATGGCAGGTGGTGAAGAACCAATGGTGAGTCTTTCATTTCAGACAAAAAATAATAATAAGCATGGTAAACCTAGAATAGATGAATAGACTAAAGATACTAAATACAATCCAAAGTCTCCAACTTTCTCAAATTGTCAAACCAGAAAGACCTCTGACTGTCATTTTCATAAGGTAATAGCCACAAAGTACTTAGTTCAGAACGTTCAATGGTTCTATGGTAAATTCATTTCTTGAAAGCTAGTTCAAAACAAGGATTAACATTATTCTTTAAATGTACAAATTATAAACTGAATGCTATACAAGTGTACACCTAGATACTTGGAAAATGCTTAATTATTTTCCTCTTTTCTTGCAGGATATCAATCCCACTCACAGACTCCAGAGGTAACACCCTGTGACATACCAAAGCTCTATTCAACATTACAAAATTATTATAATTAATTATATTTTCTCTGTGTTTAAGTTAGCTATAGAAACATGTCTGCACATACCCATCCATTACAGAAACCCCACCTCAAGACCTAACACTCAGTAGGCTCACTTAGTTGCCTTTACTGAAATTCACCTCTATTTTGACAAAAGTGCCTATGGTCACAGCTATGTATAAAGTCAACTTTTAATTTCAATAAAGTGTCTCGCAAAATATTCTAAGCTTTTATCTCAACGAGGCAGGTAAGTACTCCACGAATTCACAGAGCACTTCCTGAAAGACTTGCTTCAAGTAACATAAAATACAAGCTGAGCCCAAGGCACGTAAATAACTAAACACATCTGTACTTTTACCCTTTTTGTTTTTGTTTCCCAGAGTCCCTGGAGGAGCCTTTGAGCTCAAGAGCACCACAACTCAACACATGGTATTTGAGCTTTGTTATATTCATTAAAATTGTGGATGGTTGCATTAATAAACAATTCATGATTTTTCCTCTGAGATTCAACCTCCAGGTGTAAAGTAACTCCTTTACAATTAACTTTGATATAGCTATTTTTTTCCTCGTTTTACTTTTAAAAAAATTATGTCAAAAACCCTTGTACTTATTTCAGTCATGAGGTTTTGCTTTTTTGTCAACCTTTTGGAGGTAATTTAGTAGGTTTGACCCTAGAAAATCTATTAAGTCCATGCCTATTTACTGCTTGTAGTAATAATGGTGTCTTTTAATTCCATTAGTTTTTAGTAGGTAATGTAGTTATCAGTTTTGAGAGCAGTGTAATACTAAAGAGATTAAAAATTAAAAAAAAAAATTAATGTTAGTATTGTAAATGATGTTACTATTATTAGAAGTCTGTTATCTATTTAGTATATTGATAGTCCTTTTTTATAGTTCACATTCTACTTCATCAGAGACGAGTTGCAGCTTGTTGAAAAAGTGGTTAATTTGTGTTTTAAAAGGCAACACCAAGATAGTATTTTAATAACTTTGTAAGGTTGGTGATAAAGACAGGAACTTCCCTTGAGAATGAATAAAAAAAGTTACGAGTGGAATTTTGATAGTGAAGATGTCAATATTTATGCAGTGTAGTTTGCAAACTTCAATTGTACAAGTATCCAAGCACATTTTAATAACTTTGTAAAGTTGGTGACAAAGACAGGAACTTCCCTTCAATATTTATGCAGTGTAGTTTGCATACATCTCACTTCAAACCTCAAGAAATATTTAGTTATTTCCCTACTGATAAAACTCTTAAGGACACTGTTATATTTTTGGTGTCTTCATCAAATTATTGTCAATTATGTAGAATATTCTTTTTTGATCATTAACATCTTTAATTTACATATTGAGGCCGTAGATATTGAGTAGAATCACTTGTCGTTCACGCAAAAGGGAAGGAATCGAAAAAATTTCGAGCGTTCTGAAGAGGTTGAACTGTGCAAACACGGAATTTACAAACAGTCGGGGGTAGATAGATCTGGTCACGCAGCGCGTTCCTAGGGGAAGAGAATGTTACGAGTTGCGTGACAAAACAACAGCGCCTGATAACCCAAAAATAATATTTTCGCTTAATGTTGATACTTACAACGCTTTACAATTCATGTTAACTCCGAATCAACTTCAAGGTGTAATAATTGGACAACACTGACGAAAAAAGGAGCTATAATTTTTCATTTGCCGCTTCCATATAAGTCTCAAACTCAATTACATTATGCGAGAATAGTAACTGACCTAATGAGTCACTGAGAAGTAGACGACATTCAAGTTATTCTATCACCGCGAGTATGAGGTGTGCGGAAATGAATGAAGAAACATGCCCGTTTCTTTGGCGAGGCCGTTAAACTGGTGGAATATATTGCTATCAAAAGGCAAATAAAAGTTTAAGCAAGGAACCTCGGAAGTTCACTCTGAGCTATGGGCTACATTCAACCATTCCGTTAATTGCGCTTCCCATACCAATAAATCTCAAGAGCAGGTTCACAGAGACGACAATAAAGACCTCCTAGTCAATCGCTCTGGGACATCCTCCAACAATGGCCACTACAAGTAAAGCCATTGAAAAATGGCTACACGCACAGCTAAGCTTCCACGACATGTCACGTAAGTACCTCATAGCCTGTGCTTTTATCTCCTGAGTCAGCATAGCCACAAGAACATGTATAACACACCACTAGCTGTGAAACCCCGAACAAACCTTCCTACGAGATGTCTTCACAAAGTGCACACTTGAAAATGACCACCAAAATGATACCACATATTTTATATGGCTCAACAAAATGATACCACGTTTCATATGGCTCAACAAAATGATACCACGTTTCATATGGCTCGATGCAATCGCTTCCCCGTTCTTGTTTCGATCTACTATAGACGAGCCATAAATATAGCTGTATCTTGACGGCCTAAAGAACGATCGCGGGCTTCTTAACGTTACCTCGCACTAAAAAGACGACTGCCTTGCAGGCTAGTAGACACCTGCAAAGTAAACTAGCTGTGGGTGAAATACAGAAATATTTCCATAGTCGCCCGTATGTACCCATAAACAAAAGCGTAGTGGTCGACTAGGATCCAGTCTCCCAGAAATCGCATCCAGTATTTTTTATGCGCATTGTAATGAGTCAGTCAATTCCCGCCAATTTAACAGCTGACTAAAAAATTCCCATCAATCTTTGCCGGTGCTTACGCTCGAGTAGACAGAAAGTGTGCTAATAAGCTAATAAGCTAATAAACAAATCTTTTTTGCCAAGTGAACAAAAAGGTAAGATGTAGGTAAGCAAAAATTAAATGCAAACGCAAAATAACCGTATTTATTGGATTAAATGCAACGGCGTTTATTAAATTTTTTGTGATTCAATTGCGGCGTTTATTCGATTGCGGCGTTTTCTCGAGAGCGGCGTTTATACGGCGGCGTTTAATTGATTAAATACGGTAATATTGCAAAGGAACTATGAAACCTTTCTCTAGATTCACAGAGTACCGTGAATCAGGCACAACAACAACACGAAGTAAGTATTGAACAGGTGATAGCTTTTTCCAGGTTAGTCTGAAAAAAAAAAAGAAATTATGATATGAAAATCAAAACTGCCTTGTCAAACCTCCACCAAAATGGCGATCGATAGATCGATCGATCGATTACAGAGAGAGAGAATATAATAGAGGGCTAATATACTGTAAATTTTCTCAACTGAAACCTATAATTAAGTTGTTGTACATTTTGTACATCAACAATAAAAGAGGGGAAATACGGCGCATTGTAAACTCAAACATAATGTTCAATTAATTAAGTCCTCAATCGAATACACGATCAGTAGGAAGTAAAGTAAACACAACTCTGCACGACTGACTGTAAAAATTAACAAGAAAACTGTATCCATGTGTACCAAATTGACAAAGCTAAAAGCATCGATAATTATTACCTACTTATATATCATATTGCGAAGTTTTAAAAGAAGATCATTAATGCATTTTCCATAATTGTTTATCATTGCAGCAAAACTAGCAAAACCAGCAAATGGCGTAAGTTTCTGTCATCCTTTGAGTCTTTGAAAGTAAAATAAATTTCTTAAGTGTATACGCAGATACTGTTTCTATACAGTGTGATTATGTTCAAATTTTGAATTATGTACCAAAACCCTACTGAGCTTTGAACCACAGGTGAAGGAGTACAGTATAAATCTACCTATATTCATGTATTTAAGGAGGACATGTACATGTATGTACCACATCTCAACACATATGGCTACTGTAAACTGTTAGGGAACCTGTTACTTCACAGAGAAGTTAAACCAGGTTTTTTTGTGAAAGTCACAGCATTATCTTAATTCCATGTTTATAGGTCATGGTGCATTGCTTACACAGAGTCATAAGGGCAATTTCTTTCAAAAGTTTACCAATATGCACAAGTACATAACTCACTTAAGGAACCAGTTATTCAATTAGCTGTACCAAATTCACAGAAAAAGGTGTACCTTTGTATGTGGACAAAACAGGGTAGAACTAAAATTCTCTTTAAATTATTACAAAAATTGTGTACTTACTTTGCTGTTTTGGAATTGTTTCCTCACAGGCAACAGGGTGTCCCTCCCAGCCTAGAGGTAAGAAATTTGTTCATCAAATCCTTTTATTTTACAGCTATATTTGCAAAATTATGTCACTAACCCAAACTCAGGCAGTGGGAATGGATTTAGTGCAACCAAAATCCCCACAGCTAATATATGTACCAATAAAATGAGAGGACAGACAACTGAATAGATATCAATTGGGTACCCATGGGTGGCATAGAAAAGGCAACCATACATGTGTAATTCAAGTAATTGATATATCAGAGCATAAATAATTATGCAAAGTGAGTTAAGAAAATGAAGTATGCCTATCCCCATATCAATATCATTAAGGGTATCACTTGTGTTATTGAAGCCATCCCAGGGGTCAAATAACTATGCTTAGTCCAGAGTTTCCCCACCTCTTGTTATGTTATGGGGTATATAACAAATGGCAGGTTGGCTTATTTCTCAACTGGCAAAAAATTGATGTTTGCAAATATTCACTTCCCAAGGGTGGGCACACAGCTGCTACACAACAATTTGGCTTTTTTTCTCATAAATAACCAAACAGCAGTTGAAGAATTTCTTGTCAATCACCTCTTGTGTTGCAGATGATCATAAACAGTTTTGGCCTTCAGGATTTTAACTTTTGAGGAAGCAATTCTTATGATCTAATCTCATTATGAACCCCAATTGGGTGACAGGACTCCTTACTAGCCTGTAATGTACACATTAGGTAGTCCTCACCAAGAGAGTTCCCCCTCAGTAGTGAACAGTATTAAATTTGCAAAGCTTAGTGCATCACAAACAATATTAAACACTGATGAACCATATGACAAGTTTTAAAACAAAAAAAATTTATGTATTTTACCTTTACTTATTATTGTTGCAGCACCAGGAACCTCAACAGTAAGTTCCCTTTATATTCTGAGTCTTTAATTTATTTCTCAATAACAATATGCAAGGATATAAACAAATACTGTATCTATGTGGTTTTTGTTTAAATTTCTAAAGAAAAAGCTACATTGTTGTATTAATAAGCATTCATGTCAGTTTCTTCCAAGAAATTGAACCCAGAGGGCTCTCTCATGCTTCTTGGTAGTAGTGTAACCAGGTTTTTCATAAAATTCAAGGCCATTGTTTTAACCTTAGCTCCCATGAGTGACCAAGACAGAAATTCTCCTTACAATATCAATGAAGACAACTGAGAAAAATATCAATTAGGGGATTATTAGTTAATACAATACCAAATTTTCCAAGTTATAACATGAGAATTGTAAGACAGTAGAGATAATTACTTATAAGGCATTGGGAGTGAAAGGTCAAATACCACATTTCATAGGTCATGGTGCATTACCTACACACAGTCAAAAGGGCAATTTTTCCTAAATTTTAAACAATATTTACAAGTATATTCTTAGCTTTAGGAACAAGTTATCCAACTGATTGTACCAAGTTGATAGTTAACAACTATTCACCAAAGTGGAGGTGCTAGAAGTGGATACTTACTGAGCCGTGAAGTGGCAAGATAGATATCCACTAGAAGTCATCAACACTATGGTGAATAATTGTTTTAGCATAACTAAAACAGTGAGATAATATAATACAAAAGGATGACTTTAACTCATTTATTCCTGCAACATAAACAAAATTTTCAGGTGCAATCCTTCTTGCGTTGCTCGGAGGTGAATAGCAAAGGATATTTAGGGTTTGAGTGGCCAATCAGAGCATACCTTCAATGTTATCCACTGTTTTAGTATATACTAAGAAGAGATATAGAGTTATAGGAGAAACAAGACTTGGTAATACTAAAATTCTTTATGGAATACTACAAAGTTTGTGTACTTACATTGCTGATTTGAAATTATATCCTCAAAGACAGGAACCTCGGGAACCTGGTGTTATTCCAAGCCTCGAAGTAAGAAATTTGTTTATCAAATACTTAAATTCTGTAGCTTTACTTGTGAATTATGCCACCAACCAATACAAAAAAAACAAAACAACCTTGACAGTGGAAATGGATTTATTGAACACCATCCCAGGTTTAGAAAGCCATGCTTAGTCCATGGTTTTCCTACCTCTTGTTGTGTTTTGGGATAACTGACAAACAACAGGTCGCCTGTAATTTTTAACTGAAAAACAATTGAACCTTGGAAATATTCATAACAGTCAGGTATTACTGCTACATTTGATATTGCTTGTCTGCCTCTTTCCCCTCCAGGGTACCATGAACCAGCAGCAGCTGGTATATTTCTACCAGTTCTCAGAGCGGGGAGGGATTGTGATGCAATGTACTGATGGGTGATACAGCCCTGTTGGGTAAGTGTCTGGTTTGCACATTCTTGTTTATAACTAAATAAATGGTAATTGCTGCTGTTCTTGTAAAGTGTAGAGTGCAAAGTTATGCATCCTGTCACAAGAATGGGGCCAAGAAAAAACTTTGAATACCCCTAGAGGATATGAGCCACAGATTTCAACATGAAACGCTTTGCTGATTGAGTTTCAAAGAATTTGCCAACAATAGGCAACTATTTGACAGGCACTCTGCATGCTGTTTGGATCAGCAGTTTTGAATGTGTTCCCTATGGATACATAGATGAGATGTATCCATAGGGATAAATTTCATGACAATTACTGTTAATAATTTACCCATAGGGATACATTATTAACAATAATTCCCCAAGTGGAGGTGAATAGTGGTAGAAATTTTTTCAGAGCCACAAAGTGGTGAGGTAAGTATACACCACTTTCCACGACACTATGGTAAATAATTGTCTTATTACAAGTATCTACCAAACAGAAACCAAAATATTAGTTTATTTCTATCAATATCCTGAAAGATGATTTAAACTCTCGACCCTTAATTTTGTTTCTGTCTCCTCCCTTCTAGGAAGTGAATAGTTCTTGCTAAACACTTTTGAACCAGCCAATAAGCATGTACAAAAACCCTTTTTTACCTCTGCAGTGCACACAAACAACACATATTAAGGATCACTTAAGACTTAAAAGAGATTAACCTTTTTGCCCCCAAGATCTCATCAGTAAATCTCCTTACTGTCTGTTGTACAATTTCCTGATGTCTTTTTGGAGAATTTGTTTTTGCATCAATTAAAAGTCCCCTAAATGTTGTGTTTCTGTCTCCTGCTTTCTCATGCAGTAGACACTTATGTCAATAAAAAAGCCTTGTGCATAAATAAGCAATAGAATCATGAGACACCGAATGATGGAATATCCTACAACGCGTAGTGCCTTTTTGTATGAAACAAAAGTCTCCACAAATGGAAATGCAATAAGATATTGGGGATATTATTTATAATTGATGGGCCAAATTAAAAGAAGCATAGGTAATCAATGTTGGAGCCCAGAGGATTGGGGAACCATGAGACTTAAAGCTAGCACCTTTAAATTATTATTAAACTACTATTGTTGTCATTATTGTTTTGTCACCATTCAATTATTGGTCAGATGTCAATTAGAGGATATATTCTTGAATCATCTTTTTCTTATCTTTTTCTTATGGGAAAGCGAGACAAATATTCTGCAACACTACATTCTAGCATCACCATGCAACATCTATTTCTTTTCAATACTTGAAAAATTGTGCTATACCAGACACCACATGCATTCTTTGACTGTCTATTTTTTCTGGCAAATACAAACAGATTTTCCTTAATGCAGCTAAACCCTTAGCCAATATTCCAGCAAAATGACACTCACATTTCCATATGCAATGGCCACAACATGTTGGTTATAATGCTGGACCCAAAAACAAACAGCAGATAACATAACCAAACAAACAGTACAAACAGCAGATAACATAAACAAACAAACAGTACAAACAGCAGATAACATTACCCAATGGATAAATTGTCTTCCAGCAGATTAATGTGAACTAAACATACTGCACAATATACTGGAGAGAGACTTATCTATTAGATAACATTATCCACTCTTCAAATAATCGGGGCTTAGGAAAATTCCACTTACTTTGTAACAACCAACTTGACCCCAAATTCCAGCATCCTATATAATGATGGTCATGATCAGCCTTCTGGAGATCCTAAACAAAACAGCAAAAAGTTGTTACTTTACAGTTTAAATTTCATTAAAAGGTGAATGTCAGCAACAAAATTATGTACATATCACTTCTCTCTATAATGTTCAAGCATTATCTTGCAAAGGGGTGGTGAGAATACTCAAACTCATCAAATTCTTGTAACCAATTTACAAGGAAAAATGTAGTAGCTAGGGGGGAGAATTAACAATCAGATCTTGGGAGTTAGAGGGTTGACTCCCAAATAAAATTTGTAATTCTACCTACTCTCAACTGCACAATTCAATGTCAGTTCAGAGAATTTAGTATTGGATCAACTAATTAAACCCAAATTGATATTTCTCTGTATTCTCATATCTAATCTAGTTGATATTATATTGATGCTATTAGGAGAAATTCTGTCTTGGTCACTCATGGGAGTTACAGGGATAAAGCTTGCACTGAATGCTGCATGTGTGTGCAACAGATTGTAAATTTTCCATTAGTCACAACTACTAGTCACTTTCCAAACCAGACTGTAGGAAATTAAAAAGAGTAATTCATCTACATGGAAACTTACAGTATACATGCACACCGCAAAACCACCAAAATCAACAGATTCAAGGTGAAAAGATCTCAAATGATCTTCTTATAACATCTTTTTCTTTATAATTTATCAAAATGATACTTACAAATTACAGTAATAACACTACTTACATAGCTTGAAAGGCTAACATAACTTACATACATGTACTGAGAATAACTTGCAAAACTAGTCTAGTTCACACTTTTAAAATGGATCCCTAACATGTACATACAACTCATCTGCTTACACACATTGGCAGACACACATTCCTTGTGCAAAACCTACTCTTAACACACTTAAAATTGCTCACATACTGAAATAGTAATGTGCATCACAATCTGTGCAACATTTTTAAATCATTCAAAACTTACAATACTACCATTAACAAATTAATGCAATCTACCTTGAATCTAAATGCACTACATAGTGACACATATTCCAAAAAATTTGCACTAGCAGTGCAATCAACATGTGGATCATTTAACATTGACACACATGGAAGATTGTTTACACTCATTTTGCCTGATCGCTTTTTCTTAATACATAATATATCCTTCTTAGAGCTGCAACATGTACAGCTGCAAAAATGTTCTGGATAGCACAAGCATCACACATAAGTCACTGACTCTTAAAAACCCCTAGAACTCTAGGATAAAAAATCTTCCCACCAAATATAAGTCAATGTAGCAATATGACTTCAAATATTATATCAACCTGAAGCACTGCCATGATCAACCAATCTCTGTCTACAAAAACACTTCACATTTCTCACTCTTTAGCTGTTCTTCTGGAGAATCTTCTCTTTTAAATTCAATATCCATACTCTTTGTCTTAGACAATAGATATTCTCCATGTTAGTCTTCATCAGCCCTAAGTAGAACCCAGGTCAAGGCAATTCTTTCAAGCTCTGAAGGCTTCATCTGCAACAAAATGCAACAGGTTCCTCTTTCCCAGCATAACCTTTTGCAAAGGTTGAAGATCAGCAAAACAACAACCAATTTTTTCCTGCTGAAAGCCAAGTGCATTGACATTCTGTGAAATTCTTTGTAGGCCATTCTGTGGTAACCCTTTACACCCTAACACCAGTATGCATATTCTCTGTATATTTCCTTTCTTTCGACAGGGAGACTTTGTTGAAAAAGCAAGAGCTCCTTTGGTTGGTTATCATTTCCTTTATTCTCATGACCTCTATGTGTGATTAAGGGGTGATATTGTTAGGAGTAATGAGACACTCTTCTCCCTTAGAGGTCACTCATCTCTCTTAGGGGTCACAGGGTTAAGAGGTTGACCTCCTGCACTTTTTTTGTTTACCAGTACCATTTTGACCCCTAGGTGAAGAGAGGGACTATTGAAAGAAAAATATCTTGCCTGACAACACAAAACCATGTCTCCTATAAGAACATACACCTTTCAGCCTCAAGTCTATGAAGTTAATGTAAACATATCTCTGCCACTCATTTCACTGCTCCAAAATGTTCCTAAAACTAACCATCTACACAATCGTTCCGCTCCCTTTTCAAAATACTGCTCATTCTTTCTTAAGGAGTGTGCTCTCTTCTCCCTTTATGCTCATAAAAATCCCTTTGCAGGTCACTTTGATGGCATTAAAAAAAGGACAGACAGTATTGCATCATCTGATGGTGCTTCATTGTTTAGTAGGTTCTATGAAACCTGGATGACTTCTCTCCTTTTGCATATTTGCATACCTCACAATCATGCGTTTTGCAGTCTTGCTCTTCACCAGAGGTTTGCCCTGGTCAAATCTAACAGGAGTGTCTCTACTATGTTCTTCATATAGATTTGCCAGTTGATCTTGTTAACCACTCAAACATTTATATTACTTTCAGAAACTGCTATTCCTGCCTCTTTCTGTCAAGCTGTACCAAAACTGGTCTGAATTTTTCTAGACCACTTTATTCAGTTCAGCAAATTCTATGAAAATAAAGTTTTTTTAGCACTAAAATCTTATTTTGTTCTTTAGTTTCCTTCTCCTGCTCGACAATCCAAGTTTTTCAGGCTGATTCAGCTCTAGTGGTACCTTTTTCCTTTTCTCTAAGGTTGGTCTTACTATTACAGGATAGAACTCCTTCACATTGCAATATTTCTCCCAGATACCTAGTTTATTATCTGGTCCTGCTGGCTCTCCTGTTCTTCAAAAACTTGACATATGTATCTGATCTAGAAGGAGAATTGTCCAGTGGCTTCCTTGACTTCTGGCCAATGTCCATGGTATCCCTTCTGCTGTACCAGCTTTCAAAGACCATCATTTGACACATTGCAGGTGGTGGTTGCTACTGGCTTAATCATTTCATTGCACAGCAGATGTGGATCTAAACCACTTTCAGTTATGGTCAATCTGATTTTCATTTCTTCCATTCAACAACACCCAACAGCTCATTTTACATACATCAGACACACAGCCTCTCTCCTTTGTCATTCACAATACTACTTCCCTGCTTGTCCATGGTTTGTTCCAAGCTGACCTACCTACTTCCAAACTTAACATTATGCCTTCAATTACAAGCAAAACATCATGGTATGGCACCTTTACCACCTTGATCCTTTATGCATCATCTTAAAATTATTGTGGTATTATAAAGCCAACTTGTCATAGTTAACCAAAGAGTGTTAAGCAGTAAGAGCCAAAAAATTTTGACAGGACTGTAAATAAATTTTCCCTTCACCAAGATGCTAAATTAACTAGGGATTACTATGAATGTCATGATAAGACCCCGAATAGGGTATGTTTGGGATAACTGAAACACTACTTATCAATTTAACTACCTCAAGAAGAAAAATTCTGGCACCACAGTAAAGTACAGCCATGGAAACATACCAGTCAATAAGTTTGATGTAATTATGCCCAAGCAAGATATCATTAGAACTGAACAAAAGTGAAATTTTGAAACAAGCGAGCCAGCAAGTAGCAACAGAAGAACCCAACAAAGGTTTGTAAACATGCCAGGCACTGTACTTGATGTTACTATAACATGAGCAGAGATGAAAATTCTCAAAGAGAAAAATGAAATGGACAGTCTGTGCTTTAAAGATTTTCTTGCTCAGTTAGATTTTAAGTTTACCCAAGGTAGTAAAAATCAAACACATCTAACACTTGTATAGTATAAATAATTTTGTGTTCAAAACAGAACAAAACAGGAATGATGAAAACTATAACCAAACTGGCATAGCTGTTAAAATTCCTACAAAAAATGACGGTGTTAGAGTGACTGTGATCATGCTGAGGTCCATCACAGCTAGCTTATCGTGGTTACCTCCTGTCATTACAGTAAAGCAAGCCTCAAAAAGCCTTCTTTCGTGCTCTAACTGCTTCCAGTATGCTTTACAACAAAACAAAGCACGGCCAGGATTTGTCAAATGAGTTGGCATTTAAGATTGGGAAATGCGCGCTTCAGGATAAAACTCGCAAAATATCACGGAAGAAATTTTCTTGCTTGTACTCCTAAGTTGTGATATTTGCTGACTGAAACTAATCACCGACAAAGCGTCAACATTTTTAAAACTTTTTTTTCCGATGGGAGCACGACGCTGTTAAAAACTCCGATTTAGAAAAATCTGCCGTTGCTGTGATCTGCCAAATGAGAAAGTGAATTCTTCGTGCTCTGCCAAATGAGTGCGAATATCGATCCTTTCTCGACGCAGAAAACACTTTTAAACGACATGATATTCCAGGAAAGCCTCTTAAATTATCCACAACCTTGACGATATTGAGCTTCGAAGTTCAATCGTTTTATGCGGAGCACACGTAGCGAGGCCGGAATTTAGCACTGATAGTATCACAAAATATAGAACTTTGAAGGTAGAGTTTAAGCTTTTCGTTTACGGTAAAGGCAAACACTGAACTCTTAATTTTAATTAAACTTCTTATAATCTTAAACACAAACTTAAAATAAATTGCAAAGAAGTCTTTGCCACAACAAATATTGCTCGTTATGCAAATATCTTTATCTTGGAATACAAACGGCCTCATGCACACTGCAGTCTTCCATACGTTTCATCTCTCTCATATGATATTCACCAGAGGACATAGTTACTCAATACAGCTAACCGCAAATTTCAGCGAGTTTCTTTCCAATCTACTTGAATCTCGTTGAGGCAGTTTTTAGCTTTAGAATTCAACCGAGTTGGAGAACTATGGCGTTCAACCACAGGCGTTGCCTTTCAATAGCTTGTAGCTGAGTTAGTTTTCGAAGCAATTTTACGCCGAGAATGATGCCATAATCTACTCTATACAACGAACTTTCTTACCTCTATCAACTATATTGTTACGTTCTTTTAGTGAGCTCGCCATATTGCTTGAAGTTTCCCTTCAAGTAAAACGAGAAGGATACCACGGTAAGATCGGTTGAATTAATGGTCTCTAGGGACGGCAGAGACGAAGCTACTACTTTTTAGCCAACCGTAGAGGATTGTTGTCGATTTTAAAGGTCCTATTTCCAATTAATCAAAACTATGACAAAATTCGTGGATTAAACTTGCAATCACACTGATTGTCGTTTACGGTCACTCGGCGAAATGCGTCACAACGGCGCGCCCTCGTGACTTAAATGGAGGGGGGAGGGTGGATCACTTTTCATGGACGAATACTACACAAAAATTACACTTGAAATTTTTTGTTTAATTTTCGAAAATAAATCTGGTACCAGTTCAGTAAGACAGGCACGCCCCCGGATATTTGTTATCCTACCAAATTTTGTCAAGGCTTACCAATCTTCAAAGGCGCCGTCGTCCTGCCTCAGGGGAGAGCAGTTTTTTGTTAGGCGTGAAATCTAAAAGATTTTTGAATTAAAATGCCGAAATTATACGTAATACGTAAATCATGAAAATTTGATTCGCTTTTTGAGTGAGAGTCTTGCAGGCAGAAGGCCACCAAAAAGATTTAAGTTCTACGCGGCAATCAAACGGTAAAGATGCAAGATTTGTTTGTGTGTAAGCCCAGTGCACCCGGGCCTTTATGCCAAAAACTGTTCAAAAACTTCAGTGCACGAATCACGCTTGCCTTTCTATAAATTCACACCTCACATGCACTTAATTTGGCCTTTATCACATTCTGAGTAAAGTTACTAATTGTTCATTCGCTCTGAGGAAGGACTAACGCTCGAAACGTCAGCTCTAAAGCTCTTTAAGGTGGCCAATTTACGTTATCAACACAAGTTGATGACACTAAATTACCTTAGTAATCGCTGATTGGCTGAGGCAGGGGGTAACTAAGAGGGAACGATTACTTACACGTACACGTTTAGGAGTTTGAGCAGAGGCGTCCCAAGCTCACATCTCGAAATAGACGAAAGATTAATTCTCGGACACAAATGTATTTATTCATGAAAGCGTCACGCGTTGTATTACGTGGTGTTTGGTTTCGCGAGGAACCGTTGACTTAATACGTTATACGGAATGTGGGATATTGATCAAATGAAGCCTTTAAGTGCTACTGTGGTTCTTTCTTTGAATTTGAATTCTTCTTTCTTGAATAAAGAAAGAACCACAGTAGCACTTAAAGGCTTCATTTGATCAATATCCCACATCATTATGACATGCTACTAAAGGACACGTTCAAACGTTTAGTTATACGGAATAGTTTGAGAAACCAAATATGGTCGATGTACAACGCTAGTTATTCCGAAATGTGAACATTTTACACTCTTTGTGTGTCCATTGCGGTTTCTGGTGATTTCTGTCATGAGACGGCTAGGAAATGTACAAAGTTTTAAAACATACATGTTTCGCTTTTGAACTTTTTGCCATGAACGCGACCCCACCTTGACACGTTTACATGGCAAATTGTCACCCCAGCTGACAGGATTACCCCCTACCTGGCAGACCGGGCAACCCGAATCGCACCATTTTTTGCTCCAAATAAAATCGCATCTTTTTCCCATGCAATGAGAAACCTTTACAAAAACACAACGACCACGCAGGAAGTTTGGAGAACACGAAAGATGCGTAAGAGTTGCTCGAGGCGTAGCCGAAAGCAACTCTAGCTGCTTGAGTGCTCTCCGAACTTCCTAAGTGCTTCGTATCTCGACGAACGCACAGCTGACGCATGAACCAATAGTTTTATAACATATTTCAACCCGATGGAAAAATTTTTTCTCGAGGGATTTGTTTGCTGATGTCATGAGCGTGCACAATAGGAATATGAAGAACGCTCGCGCAATTGAATTTGATTAGACGTATTTACTAGCTATATTGTAAATTGTTTTGAACGTCGTAGTATTCGTGCATTATTTTGAACCAGACAAGTGGTAAACAACTGCACTAAGAAGTAAACCGAATTTTATCAATCTTTTCCAAGTGATTCAAGTCGCTCCATCTGATACCTATCGAATCTCTGTAAGTTTCCTCTGACTGGCCGACCTTGGAGAATGGCTCGAGTTTCCTTGACCTCGTGTCAGCGCATCGAATCGTACATTTGAATCTTTGGCGACGAAACAACGCGTTTTGCAGTCGGAACCTGGCGAGTTTATAGGTAAACTACGCCATGACTCAATTTTAAAGGTATGGAACGCAAACAAATTTTGGGCTGTATTACGTATCGCATAAGCTTGCGGTTTTGAAGCGATAGGCAAAACAGCAGCATTCACAGAGAATAGCAAGTGACTTCCAGTCAGTGTTACATTTCGAAGGCGGTCCTTGCTGAATTTCTTTTTAAAAGTGCAATACAGGCACAGCTGCGCATCAGAATAGGAAAATCTCAGCAAACGAATTCGTAAGCACGTTAATACAAATATTACGCTCTTTGATAAATATCATGTGGTTGCCTAGGTTGCCTTTGCTGTTGGTTCCGTCAGTGCACTCCTTAACCAGGTTACATGATGAGCTCAGAGAGGGAACGCTCCATTCTAGCTAGAAACTGGTTCGTGAGTAGAGTGAATATAGATGTAAGGATTTTGTCCTTGCAATAACATTTTCAGTATTCTAAATTTTACAAGTGATTATAGAATCTGAACGAGACATATTGGGCAGGTTTAGGCAAGTCGTTTAAGAAAACACTCACTAGAATGCGATTGGATGAATTTGGCTTAGGCAGCGTGACGTAAAGAACAATAGTTGACGAATAGGGGCGAGTATAGTCTAGAAGCGCAGTTTTTGAACGTTCTCTCAGAAAGAAAGTTGCTTTTTCGAGACTCAGTTCTAATGACCTGCTTAGTAACGACGTCCTACCGTAGAATCGGGGTTGGAAAAGGCATTCTTATGTTATTTTAGCGTTGTAGGAGCAGGAAAAATTCTTCGAGTGGTCTTCTCAACAGAGTTACTCGGTGGACCGTGGAGTGATTTCCATACAAAGTTTGGTAGACAATTTTATCAGATATCAAAGCAATCTTTACATTGTATGAGCGCCATGACAACCATGGTTTGGTCAGTTCTGTCTCCTTTCCCAACTTTCACTTACTGAATTGTGCCTCTTTACGCTTAGGCAATTTGGCTCCAAAGAGTGACTCTCCGTTGCATGTGCCTAATTTTGTTATACAGCGTGACCTATAGAAAACAAAACCACTCATCTGTCACGTTAGAGCAAATCAATGCTTTTCAAATGTATTATGTTTGCGCTTTTGGGCATTATTCATTGCCTAACTGCAGTGTTTTTGTTTATTGTATTTTAATACGAAGTTTACAATCTTCGCAACAATCCAATCAGGCGGATCACACAGCTGGAAGAATATCCGTCACATCTTTGAACTTGATATGTATACTGAATGAAGAGTATGCCGCTTATTTGATGTAATTGACCCATGCACAAAGGAAGAAATAAATCGACTACAAACGAATGTTTCTTAGACAGAAAAAATTTGCATAGTTTTCACTAGCGCGGCACCAGCTACAACCCCAAAAAACCGCGGGATTTCAAGCACGTTCCAATCTTCAGATTGTTTTGAGTAAATCCTTTTACTTTCGTTTCAATGATCTCGTCGACGAATTAGGTCATTTCATGCTGTTACGTTCATCACTGACTCATGATAAATTGTTACTTGTGTTTGAACAAGGCTTCTTTCAAGTTTAAGATATTTGGTAGGATTCTTATAATAATCACAGTTTCCATCCCTTGGTATGGAGACCAAGATCAAATGCGGTAAGAAAGGATACAAATCTGGTAAAATTCGTAGTGCAAACTCTGCCAGAGTAATGGCAGAGGTTACTTCGTTGAAACGTAGTCAATAAGATAGATTAATAGACGGTTTGTGGGCTGCTTCACTTCTCTTGGGTTTATATGCAAAAATATCTAGAAAACAATATGGCTTTAAAGATGGATAGTTCAAAGTATAGGTTTCAATCAAGACACGAGAATTAAGCATCACCATATAAGCCAGCGGATGAAACCTTACGCGTGGCCAGATATAGACTGTTGATAAATAGATATATTTTAGGAATTTTTGCTTTACTGATGCCCATCGATGAACAAGATCTGACTCATCAAAAGGTGCATCAAAAAGTGTATCTCAGTTCTGAAATATATTAAACGAAATGTAGTAAACAGGCTAAGTATTTTAGGAAATATATAATCAGGCACGCAGTATCAAGTACTACGAATGTGGGGTTCATTGTCCGCGACAAAACTTAGTTGATCATCTTTTATTCAACGATTTCGCAATCGTTCGTCGCTCACTAAAGAGTTAATTGAGCTGAACGCATCGAACACTCACTCAATTCAAAATGAATATTCCACGAGTGAATGATCTTAGTTGAACTGAGGATCAGATAGGAAAAAAGCGAATAAAAGGCTAGCTCTTCGCTTTCCTTGTTCATCTTACAAATGCGAAGTGACTTACCGTTGCTCGATAAAATTAGGCGTTTTGTACAGGATCTCTTCTCCCATCACATGACTGTGGCGAGGATCAGAATCGTGCGCCTTCTTCTTGAAACGATGAGACCACGCATTTTAGGAAAGAAACATATGTTAATCTTAGACTTATTGACATCACAGGTAGCCCAAGCTCGAAAAATACATGCAAGTACGTTTGGGAAAGGATTTTATAGAAGACAAAGCAGATGAACGAAAACAGGGCTATACGGCCTTAATCAGCCCAAGAAACTCTCATGATGTATGGGAACAATTTAATTAAGCGAGATAAGTTTATTCTCATGCAAATCATTTCATTTGGGGTATTGCTCAACCACAGGACCCCCAGCTTAATACATGAGTGGGTTTTATTTTAATAATGCCGCTCTCGCTAAGAGCGGTCCTTTCGACTTCCCGTCGGAAAAAAATTTTCTTTAATTTTTCGCCCATGAAAAGGGTTAGGACACATGTTTCAAAAATAGCTTAGTTGTTCTCCAATTCCCTTTTTTGCGTCACCACAAGCCAAAAATGATATTTGGCTAGACCACTCGTGTGGACAGCGATCGAAAGTGTAAATTTCACAGATTTTGTCCGGCGGAGACCCTTCTTTTCGATCTTAAAGGGTAGCTGACGCCGAATTTTCCCCTTTTTTGTCCCAATACATTCCTATTAGGCTTAAGAATCCTAAATGAGCAAATAAACGATATATAATGCAAAATCAAATTTTCTACAAATTTTTTTTTGACGCTCAATCGACGGCCATTTTGAAAACGGTCCCATTCAGGTCACGTGATGTGATACGTCACACTTGTGTAAGGCAGTGAAAATCGAAAAGCGTCATCTCAAGACCTGAAAGTAACAACTTCGCCCGAAATTTACGAGCGGAAAAAAATGAGATTTGTTCCATTCTGTTATAGGCCACCATTTAGAGGCAGTGAAATAAGAAGTGAGAAAAAAATTATGATCGAAACGCGACGGATCGCATCTCTGTATCAGAGCCACGGGTAATTTGCACGCCATTCCAAACAGCTGTGAAATATATATATCTCTTTATAGCAGACTTAAAAAAAAATGACAAATGATGGCAACCTTTTTTCTTTTATTTTTTTTGTCAACAGTATTTACACTAGTGATTAGTGCTATATCTCATTTGAAAGAGAACAAAATTAGCTTTTCAGAAAAAATATATTTTGCCTCCAAAAATCCATGGATTTTAAATCATGCTAAGAAAATGGCACACAATTTGTATAAATTATCGTACAACCTTTGACTTTGAAACAGCCTGGGCCTGAATGGATTGGAGTTACAAGGAAACATTTCTAAGATAAAATATTCCTTATCTTATGGGTGTCGGGAAATGGTGGTCGCCAACAAAGGAAACTCTCACGTCTGTAGATTTTCACCAGATTTAATATTTTTTCACTTTGTCGGTACACGTCGTGGTATTCTCTTCTCAATCGATCTTATCTGTCCGTAATTCTATCTTTTTTCAATATCATATCATATAACAATCACGCGTTTCGCAATCAGTTCATGCACGTAACATAAAAGGTAACACAACTCGCTTCCGGTCACGACACTCTCCCCCTATTTGATACCGGAGGTAACAAATACACACAAAAAGAAAATCATTTGTTCAACTTAATTGTTCGTCTTGTCTGGCAATGTCTTTGATACGCTCCGCTGCGGCAACAGCTGCTCTCCTGGGTGTGAATGCCCTGGCTCTGGGGTTGAGGACATTTGACTCTGGGTCTTGAGGCTCCTGATATCGGTCGCATGACAACTCCATGGGGTACAACTGTTGGAGTGCGCGCTCCAGGAACGATTTTCCTGCCCTCAGTCTGGCTGCCCTGACAACACCGTCTCTCCCCTTGATGAGCTTTGCTACAATTCCGAGGTTCCACTTCCCTCTGTTTCTTTCGTCACTTTGGATTAGAACGACGTCTCCGGGTTTAATCTGTGGTTCTTCTTTCTTGTGGTTGAGGTTATGTCTTTCTCTCAAACTCTTGATGTACTCCCCGGTCCATCGGGCCCACAACACATCCTTACAGCGTCGAAGATACTTGGCTCGCTTCCTTAAATCTTTACTCTCGATCGAAACTGGATCATCTTCTGGTAACAGATTGGGCTGGCCAAACATCATGGCATTTGGTGTCAGCGTGGGTAGCTGGACATCGTCTTCCAGATAAGTTAGGGGGCGGTTGTTAAGTGCAACTTCCACATCTAGGAGCACCTCCTCAAACTCGCTCCACGTGAGCCTCGCTCCCCCAACAGACTTGTACAAGGCCCGCTTTACAAGCCCCACCAACCTCTCGTACTGACCGCCCCACCACGGTGCCCTACTCAGGCTGAATTGCCACGTGATCTGCTGGTGTGCCAGGTAATCCTGCATCTTCTCGTCCTTCATGATGCTTCTCAACCATTTCGCCGCCGCAATGAAACTTTTTCCGTTGTCGGAGTACACCTTTTGTGGTCTTCCCCTTCTGGCTATGAACCGTTTCAAGCTTTTAATGAACTCTTCTGTACTCTGATCGCTTAACAGCTCCAGGTGGATGGCTCTGGTCAGACTACAGGCAAACAACAGGATATAGGCTTTACCTTCCTTCTTCTTACTGATTTTGTATGGTATTGGGCCGGCATAGTCCACGCCCAGTACCTGGAAAGGAACTGAGCCCATGGTGCGGTCAACTGGCAAGTTTCCAGGAGGTGGACTTTGGAATGCCACAGCACGGAACTTTTTACATCCAAAACAACCCCTGATCACTTTCTTGGTTAGCTGCCTCAATCGAGGTATCCAATAATCACGTCTGATGAAGGCCATCGTGAGTCCAACTCCTCCATGTAAGGTCAGGATATGTGCATCTAGAACCAACTTCTCTGTCAACACTGCACTTGATGGTAGATAGATTGGATAGCTTCCTTGAATTCTACCACGGCACTCGTACAACTCTTCGTTGTTCTTCTGTAGGTTGAGGGTCAACTTGTCCTCGTTGAACTTTTCCGTCATTTCATAGCTTGCTTGGGCCCTCTTTATCCACCATTGCACCTGCTTGTCCGTCTCAGCTGTTGTTAGAGGACCACTGAGTCGTACCGCTTTCTTCAACTTGCAGTTGTTCAGGAATCTCCTTATCCATGCTGTCACCCGTACCGTTTTCCAGAAACTGTTTTTCTCTAAAACTTCATCGAAGTCATCCTTGGTCTCTGTAGCAGTTGCGAAGATTTCTTTTGCGAGTTTAGCTTCCGCTTCGGTTTCTTTGCTCGGTTCTGTGAATACTTCAGCTGGCCAACGATCAGGCTCTGTCAACCATTTTGGGCCCATTAACCACAGCTCTCTCAGCTTGTCCGCTTGGCAACCTCTACTGCCAATATCAGCGGGATTCTGGTCGGTACCAACATGCCTCCAGTGAATGTACTCTTTCTCTCGTATCTTGTTCACTCGGTTGGCCACAAATTGCTTGTAGGCACTCCCTTCTCCTCTGATCCAGTGAAGGGCCACAGTACTATCCAGCCATCCATGGACTGATCTAACTGGCTGGCCTTCTAGGGCGTTCTTCACATTCTCGGCGAGGTTTGCCGCCATGTGCGCAGATACTAATTCCAGTCTAGGAATAGTGAGGCCCTTTTTTGCCAAGCGCGATTTCGCTGCCAGCAATCCTCTGCTCACGCCTGAAGCTTGATGAACCACTGCATATACCATTGCCTTCTGATGTTTTCGGGTACGCTTTGGTCCCATGGAAGGTGTTGGTCACAAACTTCACGATACAAGAACTTCCCCACGAGGGATACTGGTGATGCTAGGCCAAGAGGGTCGTAAATTGAAGCGAGGAACCGCAACATTTCCCTCTTAGTCACTTCTGGGGGTGCCTCTGGAAACTTCACAGCAATGGTGTCCTCCGTCTTGTCCCATGGTAGCCCCAACATCTTGGTTTCTCCGGTTTTAACTCCAAGTTGTTCCTTGGCATAACTTTGTCTCTCGTCTTCCGACTTCGGTTCTTCGTTCGTTTCCAGATCTGGCTCGTTGGAATGCCACTTGTGTAGTTCGAACTGCGCCTCCCCAAAAACTGCAACAGCTGTTTCTTTTAGTTTGCGCACCTTGTCTTTGGTTTCTCCACCGGTAATGACATCGTCCACGTACAGGCTCTTTTTGATCTCTTCCACTTCTTTTGGGTATCTTTCTTTTAGGCTTTCCAGGTGTTGCTGCAGTGTTCCCCCTAACAAGAACGGTGACTGCACCAGGCCAAACAATGCACGGGTAAATCTCAACACTTCCACATTTGATACATCTCTGTTCTTTATCCAGTGGAATCTTAAAGCATCTCGATCTTCTAGTCGAATACGTACTTGCAGGAAGGCCTGCTTAAGGTCACCTGCCAACGCCACTGGCAGATCAGACGGTTTCTTATTAGCACATCCCACAGCAGGTTCTGAAGGGGTGGCCCCGTCTCCAAACAATCGTTAAGGGGGGGACTCTTCTCATTTGATCTCGCTGACGCATCGAACACGATTCTCAGCTTGGTGGATTCTGCTGACTCTCTGATGACAGGCTTGTGTGGGATGTAGAACTCTCTTCCCACTGGGTCTGAAGACACCTTCTCTACGATCCCTTTCGCCAACTGATCTTGAATGACTTCGTCATACTGGGCCAGAAGGTTGGGCTCTTTCTGTAATTTCTTTATCAGGCTTTCGAGTCTTCGTAGACTTCCACACTCGTTGTTTGGGAGGAGATCATGACCATGTTTCCATAGTAGCCCCGTCTCATACCATCCTTCATCGCTTCGTCTGAGTTGCTCTTTAAAATCGTCGTACACTGTTTGCTGATCACCATTTGGCCTGTCCTCAAGGCCCAACACGTCAAGACTACACAGCTGGTCGTAATCAGTGGACGACGTTCTGGTGAGATAAACACTGCTCAGGTGTGCTTCCTTTCCGGCCGACATCATTGTCCAGCCTAAAGTGGTTAGCTCAGCTATGGGTTCTCCGGCCTTTCCAATTCTTGGTTTTGTGTCGGTCTTTATCCGCGAGTATTCACTAGCCCCCAGTATCAGATGGATGGGTAGTTCCGATTTCGTGTCTCCATCATCCATGACTACTCCTTCGAGGTGGGTGAACTTGTTGATCTTTTCCGAATATCTTGGGTTGGGCACCGACAGTAGGACACTTTTATCGACTTTGCTCACTGTGGTTGCCATCTCGAAACTCCCATGGGTGTTTGCAATCTTAACGTTGTATTGTTGAATCTTCTGGTTTGTCGAACACATCATGATGTCAATTCTCTTGTGCTCTATTCTTGACGGTTGCTTTCCAAGTCGTTTGACAAGTGCTGCTGAGGCATACGAGCTTCCCGCCCCAGTGTCCAGTAACGCGCGGCATGTTACGCCGTCCACATTGACAACCACGATTGGGTAAATGACTGCTCCTTCACTGGTGGCTAGCAACATCTGCTGGGAATCTCTGTCACATATTGAAGTATGATGTCTGCCGTTGCACTTCTGACAACTTCTCACAATACGACACTCAGCAGCTCGGTGTTTGGTACCAGTGCAGTTGAAACATAAACCTTTCTCACTGAGGTGCTTTCTTCTCTGTGCCACACCCACTATCTTGTCACAGTCGAGGGACTTGTGTCCGCTAGATTTGCAATAAACGCATGGTCTCGGTTTCCACTCGTCTTGCCTCGAGTTAAACAATTTGTCTTGGGATTTAGGCGGCAGGGTTCTGCCACTGCTTGGTTCTTCGGATGAAGGCAACGGATTTCTTTCGCACCACTTTCGAAGTGACTCTAACATCTGAGGAAATCCCCACTCTTGCCAGTTGTCGTCCAAACGGACAAGGTCAGCCCTGATGTCAGGTAGTTTGTCCAAGGTAACTCGAACGTAGCCATTTATCTCTTGAATTTTTCCCATGGTTTCCAGTGCTTGAGCATTAGTTGACAGCTTCTCATAGAATGGGTGTATTTTTGCTGGCTGAGATCCCTGTATGGTGGGTAAGGAAATAATACACTGCATGTGCGCGTTGGACACTTCGCTCGGTTTCCCGTACTTTGCTGTCAGAATGCTTTTAGCTCGTCCGTAGCCTTCTGTATTGTAAGGCAAGCCATCTACCGATGCACGAACTTTGGGGGTGAGAAGCTCTTTGAGGTATGAAAATTTCGCTACTTGTGTAATACTAGCCTTATCGATTTCAGTTTCGAATTGGCTCCAAAACCTCAACCAGTCGAGGTGGGTTCCTTGAAATTTAGTGATGGTTAACTTGGGTAACTTGGCGCCACTCTCCTTTAGAGATTTGGTTCGATCCTCTTCTAATTTCTTTTCGTGGTCGCGTTTGACCTTCAATTTTGCCTCCTCGAATTTCAACTCTTCTTCGTAACGACGATTCCTTTTCTCCTCTTCTTTCTTTTCCTCCTCGTCTCTCAATTCGCGTAAAGCCTCCTCTCGTAGATTCCTTGCCTCTACTCTCACATTATCGGCGAGTTTTTCGAATACGTCGACTTGCCCTTCGATTTCCAATGTCCATTCTCTCACGTCGTTCGGGTCGTCTCCTTGCTCTATTTTTAGCGCTTGTATTTGAACCTTCTTGGGCACTGGGGTAGGACAGGTTGGACCTCAGCCTACCACGGGGACATGGACGACCCCGCCCACCAGAGTCTGGGGTGACACCTTTGGCAAGTGTTTACAGCCCCGCAGCCACCCCTGCTAGGGTTACAGCACAGGGCAGGTAGAGCTCGCTAGCCTGGAAAGGCAGTTTACCTAGGGGAAGGAAAACCCTTATCCCAAACCTCTGCTGCCTTGCGGCTATATCCACACATGGAAAAGGCTTCAGGAGTAAACCTCGAGGAAAAATCCGGAGTTGGAGTCCCTAAGGCAGCTCGAAGTTGAATTCAACCCGTGCTGGCAGCTCCTGCGACGGCACTGGTCCCAAATTGTAACGACCTTGTTGTTCCTTTGGCCCCATCAGTGACGTGGAGAGGGGGAACATGTTACATGGGCAACAGCTTGTTCTCCATAAAACACTGCCCAGGCTAGCATCCGCCTACACTACACACCAACACACCTCGCACTACACCTGGAGAGGACACTCCAGCTACGCCCATGGCGTAGACACAACACGGAGAATGGCAGTTTACCGGTGATAAGCTACTGCTCGATTGGCGTAGAGTGAAGCGCCAGGGGTCGTTCTCGTCGGTGGGAGGGATCTTCGAATCCCACTGGACAGCTACCGCCCGCCTCAAGCTGGGCAGCCCCCAGTCAATAAGGTGCTGTCCCGCCACGGTTTGCTTTCTTCATTGGGTGCATGGAGATTAGGAGATATCCAACAGGCAGACTGCAAACTTTGCACCAGGCAATAACAAAAATCATCAAAAGAAACCAGTCCTGAAACTAGGCTGCTGGAACGTTAGAACAATGCTGACGGGCCTCTCAGAAGACCTTCAGGACGTCAGCGACTCCAGGAAAACAGCCATCATTAACGACGAACTTAGGAGGCTTAATGTGGACATCGCCACCTTACAAGAAACACGACTTGCAGACTCTGGAAGACTGAAGGAGAAAGACTACACCTTCTTCTGGCAGGGGAAAAGCCCCAATGTACCGTGTCAGCATGGGGTGGGCTTTGCAGTGAAGAACAACCTGCTGAACATGGTAAAGCCAGGCAACAGCGGCTCAGAGCGACTCCTCACTCTCTGCCTGAACACCACGGCAGGCCCTGTAACTCTCGTCAGCGTGTATGCTCCAACACTCTCTGCTACACCTGAAATTAAAGACGAGTTTTATGATCAGCTCACAGCCACGATCAGCAACATCCCAAACAAAGAACAACTTATCCTTCTGGGCGACTTCAACGCCAGAGTAGGAGCTGATCAAAGATCATGGCCTTCTTGCCTTGGAAAGTTTGGCATAGGCAAGATGAACGACAATGGCCAGAGACTGCTCGAGCTATGCACCTATCACAAACTCTGCATAGCCAACTCTTTTTTCAAGACCAAACCTCAGCACAAGGTCTCTTGGAGACACCCGCGCTCAAAGCAGTGGCATCAGCTGGACCTTATCCTTGTCAGACGAACCGCTATTAAGAACGTCCTCCACACACGCTCTTACCACAGCGCGGACTGTGACACAGACCACTCCTTGGTGTGTTGCAAGGTCAGGCTCCATCCGAAAAGGTTCCACCGTGGCAAGAAGAAAGGGAGCCCTCGTATTGATGTCACTAAGTTGAGCCAGCCTGATCTTAAAGAGCAATTTGCTGAGAGGTTTGAGAATCATCTAGCAACATTACAGTCAGGGGACTCCGCAACTGAGAAGTGGACCACCTTACGGGATACAATGCACCGCACTGCCTTAGCCACCTTTGGAAAAAGTACCTCGAAATCGCATGACTGGTTCAAAGCTAAATCCGCTGTGATGACCCCCATCATAGAAGCAAAGCGTGCCGCTCTAACGGAATACAAGCGATTACCCAGCGAGAAAAATCTTCAGATTCTCCGAGCTATAAGGAACAAAGTCAAACACACTGCAAGACGCTGTGCCAACGACTACTGGACCGAACTCAGCGAAGCCATCCAGACTGCAGCAATTACTGGGAACATAAGAGGGATGTATGAAGGCATCAAAACATCAATAGGTCCAATCCAGAACAAGACAGCTTCCCTTAAATCCACCTCAGGGGAAGCCATCACAGACAAGGGACAACAGATGGAGAGATGGGTGGAACACTACTCTGATCTCTATTCAAGACAGAATGTAGTAACATCATCAGCCCTTGATGCCATAAAATGCTTACCTGTAATGGAAGAGCTTGACAACGAACCCACTAATGACGAACTCAGCAAGGCTATCAGCAGCTTGGCCTCAAGGAAAGCTCCAGGCAGTGACGGGATCCCCCCTGACCTGATCAAACACTGCAAGACTACACTATTACAGCCTTTACATAATGTCCTATGTGCGTGCTGGAAAGAAGGGGCCGTACCACAAGACATGAGGGATGCTAAGATCGTTACCCTCTACAAAAACAAGGGAGATCGCAGTGACTGCAACAACTACAGGGGCATCTCCTTACTCAGCGTTGTGGGCAAAGTCTTTGCTCGGGTTATTTTGGTAAGACTTCAGAAACTGGCTGAACGTATCTATCCAGAGTCACAGTGCGGCTTTCGAGCAGAAAGATCAACGATAGACATGGTATTCTCCCTCCGCCAGCTTCAGGAGAAATGCAGAGAGCAGCAGATGCCTTTGTACATTGCCTTCATCGATCTGACCAAGGCGTTTGATCTTGTAAGCAGAGAGGGTCTCTTCAGAATTCTATCTAAAATTGGCTGCCCCCCTAAACTACACAGCCTGATTGAGTCCTTCCATGCCAACATGCAGGGGACTGTGCAGTTCAACGGCAGAACCTCTGAGTCATTCAACATCAACAGCGGTGTCAAACAGGGCTGCGTACTTGCCCCAACCCTTTTCGGAATCTTCTTTGCCTTCCTTCTGAAACATGCATTTGGCGCATCGAAAGAAGGGATCTACCTGCATACAAGATCAGATGGCAGGCTTTTCAATCTTGCCCGTCTCCGAGCAAAGACCAAAGTGCGTGAAGCCCTGATAAGAGACATGCTATTTGCTGACGATGCAGCAGTAGCCTGCCATACTCAGCAAGCACTTCAGTCACTCATGGACCATTTCTCTCAGGCCTGCAAAGACTTTGGGCTTACCATCAGCCTGAAAAAGACTAAAGTCCTGGAACAAGGAACAGAAACACCACCATCCGTTACCATCGACGATTACGAGCTCGAAGTGGTCCATCATTTTACGTATCTAGGCTCCACTGTCACTGACAATCTCTCCTTAGACTTCGAGCTCGACCAGAGAATTGGAAAGGCGGCTGCCACACTTGCACGCCTCACTACACGTGTATGGTCCAACCCTATGCTCACAGAGAAGACCAAGATGGCAGTATACAGCGCTTGTGTCATCAGTACACTGCTATACGGCAGCGAGACATGGACGATGTACGCCAGACAAGAAAAACGCCTGAACACCTTCCACATGAGAAGCCTCCGCCGCATCCTGGGAATTTCGTGGCAAGACAAAGTCCCAAACACAGAGGTCTTGTCTCGTGCGGGCCTGCCAAGCATGTCAACCTTACTCAGGCAACGTAGACTCCGCTGGCTGGGCCACGTTCATCGCATGCCAGACGGCCGCATCCCCAAAGACTTACTGTATGGTGAGCTAGCCACTGGAAGTAGACGCAGAGGACGCCCACAGCTGCGATACCGAGATGCTTTGAAGCGTGACATGAAGGCTGTAGGAATTGACACAGAGACCTGGGAAAATCTCGCAGCTGATCGGTCACAATGGAGAGGAGCCGTTACAAGGCACCTCAAAACAGGAGAAGAGAAGCTGACACAAGCTGCCACAAGGAGGCGGACCCGCAGAAAACTTCGTATCAGCAATGTCCAACAAACAGCATACACGTGCAGCACTTGCGGCAGGGACTGCCATTCACGCATTGGCCTTCACAGTCATAGTCGCAGATGCTCCAGCCAAACACACAATTAGGATGCTATACCCATGGTTGACCCTGACCGACGGAGGCCTACTACTATTTGAACCTTCTGTTCATGAACGCCGTCTAGCTGTTTTTCCAAATCCTTTTGCAATCGCTCTAACGCTTTCAGTTCTTTCTTCTCTCGAATTCTCGGTACTTCTTCGGTCGTGAATTTCAACATTCGGAGCTTTGCGTCGATCTTTTTCACCGCTTGCTCAAGCTCAGCCATTTGTTGTTTTTGATAAAACCACGCGGTCAGTGTGATTTCTGTGATGAATTTTCTGTTTCTTTTAAGCCGTGTCCTGGCAGGGTCGCCACTTTTGTCGGGAAATGGTGGTCGCCAACAAAGGAAACTCTCACGTCTGTAGATTTTCACCAGATTTAATATTTTTTCACTTTGTCGGTACACGTCGTGGTATTCTCTTCTCAATCGATCTTATCTGTCCGTAATTCTATCTTTTTTCAATATCATATCATATAACAATCACGCGTTTCGCAATCAGTTCATGCACGTAACATAAAAGGTAACACAACTCGCTTCCGGTCACGACATGGGCAAGACATCCAGAGACTCTGGCTGAAAAAGAACAAATACAGAATTAATTAGAATTTTTTTCCAAACTGTACCCCAAAACCATAAAAATTGACCCAGATTATTGAAAAATTTATTCCTCACCAAGTATTTACACAAGGGAAGTAAGCTATACCTCACTTGAACAGCAGTAAATAAGCTTTCCTGAAATGCATTTTTCCTCTCCAAGAAAAAGGAACAACCTCATCGAATGCTTTCAAACTAACACTAATTAGCATAAAATATCATCAAAATTTGAACTGTGAATTAAGTGATACCCAAATAATATAAAGAAATGAGGCAAAAAATTAACTAAAGAGGTTCCTTGTTATATAGGCAACATCTCCATAAAAATTGGTTGGAAAATAACAAATCTGAGATGTGTTACACATATTTAGTGAACACTGATTGACATACTGACTAATTAGTCTGACCTCATCATCACCCCAAGCCCAAATTTACTAATCCCTCTTGAGGTCTGCAGTGCAACCATTGGAACTATATTTCTTTGTTTGACTTCTGAAATTTTGCCTTGAAACAGGGACAAATGAGATAATCAATACAAAAGTGCAACATATATCGAAAGCCTTTCACTTGCAATGCACCACCAGTATTTTTCGGCATAGGGTAAAATATGGACTAGACCATTTTTTGGACCATTTTTTTGGACCATTTTAGAGGGGGGGAGCACACCATTATTACTGAGGGAGGGGTGGGATGAAGTCTATCAGTACTGAGGGAGGAGTGGGAGGCAGAGTGTTATTACTCAGGGATGGGTGTGAGACGGACTACTCCTACGCAGGGAGGGGTGGGAAGTGGTTGTAATGGTAAACACTACTGGTTAATAGAGCCTTAACTCGATCGTACAAACAATTTGAATTGGTTTTTCGACTAAGTTTTTGTATGTTTTGCATGTAGTCCAAAAAATGGTCAAAAAATGGTTTAAAAAATAGTCCAGTCCATATTTTACCCTATGCCATAATTTTCAAGAGTAAAACAATTCAGAAGTGAAACAGGAAACTGTCATTTTATATCATTCCACTCATTCTTGAGCATAATTTGTTTGTTTTGTGAATTTTGGCATGTAACAAGTAGAACCACATCTAAAAAGCATACAAAACAAATAAGATAATGTACAGGTCGATATAAGTACAACTATCGTTTTAAAAATAAAATATTTTATTTGATTTAGTTCGGACGCACACTGCGTCATTTGATATGTCATTGGCTGTTCTAACATTCCATCGAAGATTATTTTCTCTGTCGCTTGAAAATCATGTTTGATCACAAAATATATTGCTTTTCATTCACAAATATACATTTACAGGTTTGTTTCAAGGCAAAAAACAAGGATTCGTACGCGAAAAGTAAAAGTAGATGTTTCAACACCACATGTGTCACGGATTTAAATATCGCAAGAATGTTTACAGATTACTTACCTCGATTCTGCGCTAGGATTTTCCAGTTTTCCATCTAATTCGGATTCCTCGCCACTAGAGATACCACCATGCTCACTTCCATCGTCAAAAATCATCTCACAAGCCTTAGCTACGCTGTATCTCTAGCGTTTAGCGGTGAAAATTTTCATATTTGAGCGGCTGAACGAAAAAAATCAAATCTCGAAAACTAAAATATATTTTCACAAAAACAGTACACCACAATTATTAGAACATATTGGGCTATAAAATATGAAAGTAGGGGTTAAATCGAATTTTAGGCGACTTGCCACAATATTTCAAGTTTGTTCGACTGATGTTGATATCCTCTCAAGATTTTTTCCGGTTTAAATCACTGTGACCTCACGCCTATCGGTTCCGGAGTGAGCGTGACTGAGCGCAAAGTGTTGTCGCATATTATGGGAGTTAGTCACCTTAACCTGGTTTCGTGATCGAAACTCTTCCACGTTCCGGAAATATACAAGATTTATCTTTTTTTAAATTTTTTTTTCAACGGAGACTAGTGCTCTAGGAATGATTACAACTAACATGAGCAGCAATACATAGCACATTCGTGTGCCTAAGTTTAATAACAGAAACATGCTGTAAACGGATGTTACAAGAAACACTTTGTTATGAGCGCCACACTCAAGCTTTTTTTCTCATTTGTGACCGGAAACATGATGAAATCAATCCTCCCCAAAAGGTTACTCGTTTCAAAAATGTACCACTGTCAGCTGAGTGAACAGTAAATTATTCAAGCTCGTTTATCATAAATAAAACAAGCTGATAGCTTGAGAGAGGAAACCATTAAAGCACATATCATGGGACTGCCTTGCACCCACCGTGTTAACGCAGTGCTTTGGTAAAAAAAAGGGACCGATTCAGCGACAAACTCGTGCTACGGAAATAACAAGCACGTAATGTTTCTCAAGTTACGACCTGAACTTAAAAAAAAAAAAATATATATATATATATATATTTATACATATATATATATATTTTGATAGATATATATATGTATATGTATATACTTGTTCACGCTCAAGTTATTCAAAACTGTACCACTCTTAGCTGCGGAAAACATTCTTGGAAAAGATGTTTTCTTCCTCCCTCCACACTGATGGGCAGTTTCCACACTGACACAAGTGTTATTAAAAAAATCAGTAAAGTAGCAATTTTTTCACGATGTTGAATAGAAGAAATAGAGAGCACGACTTGTATGATTGGCTTCACAAAAAGGAACAGTGATCAGCTCCGTAACTGTCGCAAACGTGAGAGATAACTCAAACTTTAGACTATAAACAAGGTGCAAAGATCACAAGTAAACAATAAGTTATAGCGGAGCTCGCGTAGCCCCATAATTATATAAAATAGTAGTAACCCACCAAGCCGAAAAAATGTGGATTTACGACCTTACGACTGTACAAGGTGCTACTTTTAACATGCGTGGTCAACTGTACCGCGGGCACGCCAACGCCACGGCTTTGTCTAGTAGTCCAGTGGTCAGTGCACTAGGGTCCGAGTCGGACGACCCAGGTTCTAGTCCTTGCCAGGGCAAGGCGTTGTGCCCTTGAGACGTGCGGGAAAAAAAAAATGCGAGCTCCGCTTTTAGGCTCGGCTAAATCTATATATTATTAGGAGGATGTTCAATTCTACAGGTGCGAATGCTATTTTTTGCTGCATCGCATTTTAAATTAAAAGCCGAGAAATCTTTAATCGTTCAACAGTTTATACACCTATGAGGTCACTGATTGTCTCAAACCCGCTAGTGTATCTCTAACTTCCATCCACCAACATCATAAAAACAACGCAAATTCAAGTGTTTGCTCATAACAACCGAATGGTAATTGCCGAGTTGTCCTGAAACGTTGCGTAAACGTGATCGGTCGTAACGCTTGCGCGCTTGCGTGACTTACAAAGTAGAGTATTCTGGGTCAAAAACTATGCTGCGATTCCGGAAAATGCATATGGTAAAATTCAAAGAGCGCAAACTGATCATGACAGTTCAGTGAAGTAATCCGTAATCCAAGTAGTAGGAGAGAACTGCCTCGCTAATCCTGATTACTACGGAAACCCGCGGATACCATGGCATGCCCTGTAAGATTCCTTACAGTCAAAAGTTACTTTCGTGCAGTTCACTGAATGTCGTATCTTAGATAGAAACGTCTTTTTAAAAATGAAAGGTACCATTTGATTTTGAATTGACGTATTATTATATACTTTGCAGTGGTGCATGACGCGCAAAAAAGGGCTTTTACAACACAAAAACAAAAGATCGCTTACTAAAACCAACATTATATGGGTTGGGTGTACCTAAAAAAGTAACTCAAAAGGGTAAAAATTGGACAAAATAATTTTTGAAAATAACACCTTAACAGCAAAAGCACACTGCCAGAATTGATCACCTCTTCCTTGTAAATTTCTTTTTTTTAGTCTTTGTTTTACTTCAGTCAACGCAGCAACTCATACAGATCAGTTCCTAACATGACCGTTTTCAGAGGAGGGTCTAAACATTTATCATTATTTATAGCAGTAAATGAGATAAAGGATTGAAAAAAAAAATGAAAAATTACTGTTACATCCCACTTAATAATAGGACTTCTGCTATTACACTAAAATCTAAAATACATCGTTCTGCTATATTTTTTTATGCCTTGCCGACCAAGCCTAAGAATCTTGAATGAATTCTATAAGTAAACAGTGGAGGAAGCATTAAGGAATACAAGCCAAGATCTCGACAAGCTGCACATGTTGTGAACTGAGGGTATCGTTTATATACCTTTTGTACTGATGTGAATATGATCAAAAGAGCATAGCTGACTGGAAGATTTATCTTCTCTGCACCTTTAAGATTGTCGCCCCCTATTATTAAATGCGCAGTAGAGCCCCGTTAACTCAACTGTCAAGGGAAACAAAAATGGGGGTTCGAGTTAGCTAAAAGTACGAGTTACCATGGAGCATGAGTTAACCATGTTCGAGTAAGCGAGGTTCTATTGTGTTTGTAAAGATTGAAAAGCTTGATGTTGGAAAAGAGCAGGGAAAAGTTTGATATCACGAACCTGGAGCATCATGTTTAGTTGTAATGATTAAGTCTTCACATTTCAATCGCTTCAAGAATAGTTTCTTTAACCAAACTGGCATACTTCTGGGCTACATACTTACAACGTTACTGTAATAAGTCACTGTCCAAAATAACTTTCCATTAAATGTCATCATGCTGTTCCTAAAAATGGTTCCTCGTTGGTGCTCGGCAGAACAACCGAACCTTGCTCGAAGGATGACGCTATCATCGGGAGATCCGTCGAGAAACTTTGCGTAACCCAAATTAGTGAAAACTACTAGCTGTCGGGAACGTCCAGCGAATCCATCATCTTCTTTAGGTTCTTCACTCATTGCTCCAAATACCACTGGGATCAGATACTTCATGACTGACCATTCCTTGATGGGTACGTTGTTTTTCAGTTTGGCATGGATGTCATTTGAGGCTTGTTTAGACATATTTCAAAATGCACCAGGATCTGGAGCAGCGACCACCAGGTTTTTACATTCCACGCCAAGAAAGTACGATCCGGCATAGTCATTTGGTACTTCTGATCTCAGGAAGGGTCTGATATTGACTGTGACTCGGGTGGGGACTTCTAGCTTCTCATCCTCTAACATGGTGACCATGGAAACACCTGCTGCTGTCTGAACAGCCCCCTGTACTGTTGTCTTATGCTCCTTGCACTTCTTCAGTAACCTTGAGGTCTCGTCCTCAGTAAACTCTAAGGGAATAATCTTCGTCTTTGGTTGAATGTGCGGATATCGTTGGATTTCGACGCCATATTTTCTGGTAAAGGCATTACCTTTTGGAACAAATCCTCCCATCATTCGTGTGGTGAATCCGGGTATCATGCCCAGTATTCCAAATACCACAGGCAAAAGAAAGTGGTACCATTTAGGCGGGGTCACTTCATCAAGGTACAGTTCTACTGGTGGCAACATTGGCATGGAGGACACTTGAGGTTCTTCATTGTTGAGTATGTTGCCCAAATACGTCTTAAACTCTGCAAACATTCTCGAAAAGGACTGCCCATCTATTATGATATGATGAAAGCCAACTATGCAAATGCACTCATAAGGGTGTGAGGTTATTTCTGGGGTTTCTTCATCTGCGTTCTACTGGTACCTAGCATTTGGAAGGAAGGTGACTCTCCAAAGAGGACCATTTTTTCCATCAAGTTTCTCCAGCAAGCTCTCCTCCATGACACTTTTCCAGACGGTGGTATTTTGCTCTCGTAAATCCACCTTAAGAGTTGTCATCTTCTGCAGGTGATATTCTCCGTTTTGGTTCTTTTGATAGCACATGCGCAAATTAGGGTGTCTTCTCATGAGTAGTTCCATTGCTTTCCTCACCACTGATCCTGTAATTTCCTTTTGGGAGCGCAAAACTAAAGTGTCGGCAAGAATAAGACTTCCAGTCGTGTCGTGGACATGTCTTAACAATTCTTCCATAATACCAAGCGGGCGTCCGTTGTCATGGTTGTAATTTTTTTGGAACTTCGGTTTCTGACCTTGCAGTCTTCTCATAAACATGACCAACAGAACTAGAGCCACTCCACAAACTGCAGCAAAGGCAAACATGGTTTCTGAAATTGAAACAAGTACAGACAGATCGAAAACTAGCTCTCATTTTGACTCAGGGGAGGATACTCTCTCCTCTTTGAACTATAGAACAGTAATGACCGAGTCTATGAAATGCAGGGAGCTAGAGACTGCACGTTGCAGGTTGTAGCAGCAAGTCGCAAAGTCAAACCACCTTAAAATGTTTAACCAATGACAACAGCAAGAGCAAAAATGAATTCAGAATTCCCACGTGGACTCATGGTATTACCCACAATAAATCAATCATGACATTAACAGAATTATTAACAATATGACAGGAATTGATAGAAATGGACAAATGCTTGTCTATATTCCATTCAAGACATATATAGCGGCAGGTCAAACAACTCAAATAAATCAAATTCAGTATCCTTACAGATCGCTTTTATCACCTTTTGTAAATTTGTTATGGGTGGTGATATATTTGAATCTACGCCTGTAACCTGTTACTCGTATGCACGAA